TGCTCTCACTTGGTGGTGTGTTGCACAGAGATGCTCTCACTTGGTGGTGTGTTGCACAGAGATGCTCTCTCTTGGTGGTGTGTTGCACAGAGATGCTCTCACTTGGTGGTGTGTTGCACAGAGATGCTCTCTCTTGGTGGTGTGTTGCACAGAGATGCTCTCTCTTGGTGGTGTGTTGCACAGAGATGCTCTCACTTGGTGGTGTGTTACACAGAGATGCTCTCACTTGGTGGTGTGTTACACAGAGATGCTCTCACTTGGTGGTGTGTTGCACAGAGATGCTCTCACTTGGTGGTGTGTTGCACAGAGATGCTCTCTCTTGGTGGTGTGTTGCACAGAGATGCTCTCTCTTGGTGGTGTGTTGCACAGAGATGCTCTCACTTGGTGGTGTGTTACACAGAGATGCTCTCACTTGGTGGTGTGTTGCACAGAGATGCTCTCACTTGGTGGTGTGTTGCACAGAGATGCTCTCACTTGGTGGTGTGTTGCACAGAGATGCTCTCTCTTGGTGGTGTGTTGCACAGAGATGCTCTCACTTGGTGGTGTGTTGCACAGAGATGCTCTCTCTTGGTGGTGTGTTGCACAGAGATGCTCTCTCTTGGTGGTGTGTTGCACAGAGATGCTCTCACTTGGTGGTGTGTTACACAGAGATGCTCTCACTTGGTGGTGTGTTACACAGAGATGCTCTCACTTGGTGGTGTGTTGCACAGAGATGCTCTCACTTGGTGGTGTGTTGCACAGAGATGCTCTCTCTTGGTGGTGTGTTGCACAGAGATGCTCTCTCTTAGTGGTGTGTTGCACAGAGATGCTCTCACTTGGTGGTGTGTTGCACAGAGATGCTCTCACTTGGTGGTGTGTTGCACAGAGATGCTCTCTCTTGGTGGTGTGTTGCACAGAGATGCTCTCACTTGGTGGTGTGTTGCACAGAGATGCTCTCACTTGGTGGTGTGTTGCACAGAGATGCTCTCTCTTGGTGGTGTGTTGCCAAAGACACACCAATACTGTCAGGACACTCCCCCCCAACACTGGACCATGTTAGGACACTACCCCCCAACACTGGACCATGTTAGGACACTACCCACCAACACTGGACCATGTTAGGACACTACTCACCAACACTGGACCATGTTAGGACACTACCCACCAACACTGGACCATGTCAGGACACTACCCACCAACACTGGACCATGTTAGGACACTACCCACCAACACTGGACCATGTTAGGACACTACCCACCAACACTGGACCATGTTAGGACACTACCCACCAACACTGGACCATGTTAGGACACTACCCACCAACACTGGACCATGTTAGGACACTACCCACCAACACTGGACCATGTTAGGACACTACCCACCAACACTGGACCATGTTAGGACACTACCCACCAACACTGGACCATGTCAGGACACTACCCACCAACACTGGACCATGTCAGGACACTACCCCCCAACACTGGACCATGTTAGGACACTACCCACCAACACTGGACCATGTCAGGACACTACCCACCAACACTGGACCATGTTAGGACACTACCCACCAACACTGGACCATGTCAGGACACTACCCACCAACACTGGACCATGTTAGGACACTACCCACCAACACTGGACCATGTCAGGACACTACCCACCAACACTGGACCATGTCAGGACACTACCCACCAACACTGGACCATGTCAGGACACTACCCACCAACACTGGACCATGTCAGGACACTACCCACCAACACTGGACCATGTCAGGACACTACCCACCAACACTGGACCATGTCAGGACACTACCCACCAACACTGGACCATGTCAGGACACTACCCACCAACACTGGACCATGTCAGGACACTACCCACCAACACTGGACCATGTTAGGAGAAAGTGACGTGTCCCGTTTTCTGTTTTAGCTCCTCTGGCTTAAGTTGTTTCACTAGGAAACTAACCTTAAATTAACTGTTTTTATGACGTTTTGAAACCTTAGGAGATGTTGCCGTCCTCCTGACCTGCCAGGAGATGTTGCCGTCCTCCTGACCTGCCAGGAGATGTTGCCGTCCTCCTGACCTGCCAGGAGATGTTGCCGTCCTCCTGACCTGCCAGGAGATGTTGCCGTCCTCCTGACCTGCCAGGAGATGTTGCCGTCCTCCTGACCTGCCAGGAGATGTTGCCGTCCTCCTGACCTGCCAGGAGATGTTGCCGTCCTCCTGACCTGCCAGGAGATGTTGCCGTCCTCCTGACCTGCCAGGAGATGTTGCCGTCCTCCTGACCTGCCAGGAGATGTTGCCGTCCTCCTGACCTGCCAGGAGATGTTGCCGTCCTCCTGACCTGCCAGGAGATGTTGCCGTCCTCCTGACCTGCCAGGAGATGTTGCCGTCCTCCTGACCTGCCAGGAGACACAAAACTTACTGTTTTGGGCACATTTCATTTGTAAATTAAATTTTCATTTTGTATTACGGCAATTTGCGGCCGTAGCGCATATGAGGGAAGAGTGACGTGGGTAATGACATATGAGGGAAGAGTGACGTGGGTAATGACATATGAGGGAAGAGTGACGTGGGTAATGACATATGAGGGAAGAGTGACGTGGGTAATGACATATGAGGGAAGAGTGACGTGGGTAATGACATATGAGGGAAGAGTGACGTGGGTAATGACATATGAGGGAAGAGTGACGTGGGTAATGACATATGAGGGAAGAGTGACGTGGGTAATGACATATGAGGGAAGAGTGACGTGGGTAATGACATATGAGGGAAGAGTGACGTGGGTAATGACATATGAGGGAAGAGTGACGTGGGTAATGACATATGAGGGAAGAGTGACGTGGGTAATGACATATGAGGGAAGAGTGACGTGACGGTAATGACATATGAGGGAAGAGTGACGTGGGTAATGACATATGAGGGAAGAGTGACGTGGGTAATGACATATGAGGGAAGAGTGACGTGGGTAATGACATATGAGGGAAGAGTGACGTGGGTAATGACATATGAGGGAAGAGTGACGTGGGTAATGACATATGAGGGAAGAGTGACGTGGGTAATGACATATGAGGGAAGAGTGACGTGGGTAATGACATATGAGGGAAGAGTGACGTGGGTAATGACATATGAGGGAAGAGTGACGTGGGTAATGACATATGAGGGAAGAGTGACGTGGGTAATGACATATGAGGGAAGAGTGACGTGGGTAATGACATATGAGGGAAGAGTGACGTGGGTAATGACATATGAGGGAAGAGTGACGTGGGTAATGACATATGAGGGAAGAGTGACGTGGGTAATGACATATGAGGGAAGAGTGACGTGGGTAATGACATATGAGGGAAGAGTGACGTGGGTAATGACATATGAGGGAAGAGTGACGTGGGTAATGACATATGAGGGAAGAGTGACGTGGGTAATGACATATGAGGGAAGAGTGACGTGGGTAATGACATATGAGGGAAGAGTGACGTGGGTAATGACATATGAGGGAAGAGTGACGTGGGTAATGACACGTGGGTAATGACATATGAGGGAAGAGTGACGTGGGTAATGACATATGAGGGAAGAGTGACGCAGGTAATGACATATGAGGGAAGAGTGACGTGGGTAATGACATATGAGGGAAGAGTGACGTGGGTAATGACATATGAGGGAAGAGTGACGTGGGTAATGACATATGAGGGAAGAGTGACGTAGGTAATGACATATGAGGGAAGAGTGACGTGGGTAATGACATATGAGGGAAGAGTGACGTGGGTAATGACATATGAGGGAAGAGTGACGTGGGTAATGACATATGAGGGAAGAGTGACGCAGGTAATGACATATGAGGGAAGAGTGACGTGGGTAATGACATATGAGGGAAGAGTGACGTGGGTAATGACATATGAGGGAAGAGTGACGTGGGTAATGACATATGAGGGAAGAGTGACGTGGGTAATGACATATGAGGGAAGAGTGACGCAGGTAATGACATATGAGGGAAGAGTGACGTGGGTAATGACATATGAGGGAAGAGTGACGTGGGTAATGACATATGAGGGAAGAGTGACGTGGGTAATGACATATGAGGGAAGAGTGACGTGGGTAATGACATATGAGGGAAGAGTGACGTGGGTAATGACATATGAGGGAAGAGTGACGTGGGTAATGACATATGAGGGAAGAGTGACGTGGGTAATGACATATGAGGGAAGAGTGACGTGGGTAATGACATATGAGGGAAGAGTGACGTGGGTAATGACATATGAGGGAAGAGTGACGCAGGTAATGACATATGAGGGAAGAGTGACGTGGGTAATGACATATGAGGGAAGAGTGACGTGGGTAATGACATATGAGGGAAGAGTGACGTGGGTAATGACATATGAGGGAAGAGTGACGTGGGTAATGACAGCCAAAGAAATATCAAATCTTTCTAACTAAACAAATTTATTAATAAAAGACAATTATCATGTCTTCAGTAGCGCAAAAACCCAACCACATTTACCTGGAATGAGCCACAACTGTCTCAAGAGTTTACCAGACCTCTGAGGCCCGAGGGTAACAAGGTGAGCCAGACCTGTCACCTTACCCTAGACCAGACGGGATCCGGCCAAGACAGCAGTAACAAGGTGAGCCAGACCTGTCACCTCACCCTAGACCAGACGGGATCCGGCCAAGACAGCAGTAACAAGGTGAGCCAGACCTGTCACCTTACCCTAGACCAGACGGGATCCGGCCAAGACAGCAGTAACAAGGTGAGCCAGACCTGTCACCTCACCCTAGACCAGACCGGATCCGGCCAAGACAGCAGTAACAAGGTGAGCCAGACCTGTCACCTCACCCTAGACCAGACCGGATCCGGCCAAGACAGCAGTAACAAGGTGAGCCAGACCTGTCACCTCACCCTAGACCAGACGGGATCCGGCCAAGACAGCAGTAACAAGGTGAGCCAGACCTGTCACCTCACCCTAGACCAGACGGGATCCGGCCAAGACAGCAGTAACAAGGTGAGCCAGACCTGTCACCTCACCCTAGACCAGACGGGATCCGGCCAGATGGTGGGTGGAGGCGCTGCCCTCCAGGTCAGCCACCAGGGTGACATAGTCGACCAGGTCCACGACGCCCGTCAAGGCCTCCACCAGCGACGACTCGTCCACCTGCGGACGTCAACACTTGTACACCCTCCACCCGTCAAACACTGCCGTCAAATACACCCTCCACCCGTCAAACACAGCCGTCAAATACACCCTCCACCCGTCAAACACATCCGTCAAATACACAAGTTTCCAGTCAAATATCATCAATAAAGAGCCTGACATTCAGACAGTTCAGTAATATAGTTTTAAAAAAGACAGGCGTTCCAGGAGGTGTCGACGGAGGACAGAGCTGGCTTGGACAGTGCCGGATAGGACAGTACCGGATAGGAGTGTGCCGGATAGGAGAGTGCCGGATAGGAGAGTGCCGGATAGGAGAGTGCCGGATAGGAGTGTGCCGGATAGGAGAGTGCCGGATAGGAGAGTGCCGGATAGGAGAGTGCCGGATAGGAGAGTGCCGGATAGGAGTGTGCCGGATAGGAGAGTGCCGGATAGGAGAGTGCCGGATAGGAGAGTGCCGGATAGGAGAGTGCCGGATAGGAGAGTGCCGGATAGGAGAGTGCCGGATAGGAGAGTGCCGGATAGGAGAGTGCCGGATAGGAGAGTGCCAAGGTACACTAACCTGACAAGGAAGATTGTCGTGGATGTTGGGTCGACAGCGCCAGTCGACCTCCCGACACAAGGCCTTGTAGTCGACCTGTCCGTCCTCTGTCATGCTGAGAAGGGGAACAGGGGTCAGTATGGGGTCATACTCTATCCTCCAGACTATCCTAGTCCCTCACCAGTGACCACAGACTATCCCCGTCCCTCACCAGTGACCACAGACTATCCCCGTTCCTCACCAGTGACCACAGACTATCCTCGTCCCTCACCAGTGACCACAGACTATCCTCGTCCCTCACCAGTGACCACAGACTATCCTCGTCCCTCACCAGTGACCACAGACTATCCTCGTCCCTCACCAGTGACCACAGACTATCCTCGTCCCTCACCAGTGACCACAGACTATCCCCGTCCCTCACCAGTGACCACAGACTATCCTCGTCCCTCACCAGTGACCACAGACTATCCTCGTCCCTCACCAGTGACCACAGACTATCCCCGTCCCTCACCAGTGACCACAGACTATCCTCGTCCCTCACCAGTGACCACAGACTATCCTCGTCCCTCACCAGTGACCACAGACTATCCTCGTCCCTCACCAGTGACCACAGACTATCCCCGTCCCTCACCAGTGACCACAGACTATCCTCGTCCCTCGCCAGTGACCCTAGACTATCCTCGTCCCTCACCAGTGACCACAGACTATCCACGTCCCTCACCAGTGACCCTAGACCGTCCCTCACCAGTGACCACAGACTATCCTATGTGGTGTGAGTGACGGAGTTACCTGAAGGTTACCTGTTAATGAGTGCATCAATGAGGGTGCTAGTGAGGGGCGGCCGGATGGCTTTGAGTGCCGCCCTCACCGTGCCGGATGGTAGCCGCCCACGGCCCTCCACGTCACGCCCACGGAGGCCGGATATCAGGTCCTGGACCCCTGCAGGGAGAAGCCAAACTTGAAGCAGACGTCAACAACAGCCCTGAGGCACTCCACCCACTCCCAGGGAGCTCCACCCACTCCCAGGGAGCTCCACCCACTCCCAGGGAGCTCCACCCACTCCCAGGGAGCTCCACCCACTCCCAGGGAGCTCCACCCACTCTCAAGAAGCTCCACCCACTCCCAGGGAGCCCCACCCACCCTCAGGGAGCCCCACCCACCCTCAGGGAGCCCCACCCACCCTCAGGGAGCCCCACCCACCCTCAGGGAGCCCCACCCACCCTCAGGGAGCTCCACCCACTCTCAGGGAGCTCCACCCACCCTCAGGGAGCTCCACCCACTCTCAGGGAGCTCCACCCACTCTCAAGAAGCTCCACCCACTCCCAGGGAGCCCCACCCACCCTCAGGGAGCCCCACCCACCCTCAGGGAGCCCCAGCCACCCTCAGGGAGCCCCACCCACCCTCAGGGAGCCCCACCCAGCCTCAGGGAGCCCCACCCAGCCTCAGGGAGCTCCACCCACTCTCAAGAAGCTCCACCCAGCCTCAGGGAGCTCCACCCACTCTCAAGAAGCTCCACCCACTCCCAGGGAGCCCCACCCACCCTCAGGGAGCCCCACCCACCCTCAGGGAGCCCCACCCAGCCTCAGGGAGCCCCACCCAGCCTCAGGGAGCTCCACCCACCTTCACGGAGCTCCACCCACTCCCAGGGAGCCCCACCCAGCCTCAGGGAGCCCCACCCACCCTCAGGGAGCTCCACCCACCCTCAGGGAGCTCCACCCACCTTCAGGGAGCTCCACCCACCCTCAGGGAGCTCCACCCACCTTCAGGGAGCTCCACCCACCCTCAGGGAGCTCCACCCACCCTCAGGGAGCTCCACCCACCCTCAGGGAGCTCCACCCACCCTCAGGGAGCTCCACCCACCCTCAGGGAGCTCCACCCACCCTCAGGGAGCTCCACCCACCCTCAGGGAGCTCCACCCACTCTCAGGGAGCTCCACCCACCCTCAGGGAGCTCCACCCACCTTCAGGTGTAGGATCTTACCGTCAAAGTTGTGCCTCTTCAGGTGTAGGGCCGTCAGGTGTGTAAGGTTGTGACGGGTGAGGGGACGGGGCCTCTCCTGGCGGTGACGCCGAACCAGTGTCTTCACCTGTTGCTGAGTCACTGTTGTCCCTCCTGTAACACTGTCACTGGTCAGTGTACCTGGCACTGGTCAGTGTACCTGGCACTGGTCAGTGTACCTGGCACTTGTCAGTGTACCTGGCACTGGTCAGTGTACCCTGTCACTGGTCAGTGTACCTGGCACTGGTCAGTGTACCTGGCACTGGTCAGTGTACCTGGCACTGGTCAGTGTACCTGGCACTGGTCAGTGTACCTGGCACTGGTCAGTGTACCCTGGCACTGGTCAGTGTACCCTGGCACTGGTCAGTGTACCTGGCACTGGTCAGTGTACCTGTCACTGGTCAGTGTACCTGGCACTGGTCAGTGTACCTGTCACTGGTCAGTGTACCTGGCACTGGTCAGTGTACCTGGCACTGGTCAGTGTACCCTGGCACTGGTCAGTGTACCTTGCACTGGTCAGTGTACCTGTTACTGGTCAGTGTACCCTGGCACTGGTCAGTGTACCTGTCACTGGTCAGTGTACCTTTCACTGGTCAGTGTACCCTGGCACTGGTCAGTGTACCTGTCACTGGTCAGTGTACCCTGGCACTGGTCAGTGTACCTGTCACTGGTCAGTGTACCCTGGCACTGGTCAGTGTACCTGTCACTGGTCAGTGTACCTGGCACTGGTCAGTGTACCTGGCAGTGGTCAGTGTACCTGTCACTGGTCAGTGTACCCTGGCACTGGTCAGTGTACCTGTCACTGGTCAGTGTACCTGGCACTGGTCAGTGTACCTGGCACTGGTCAGTGTACCCTGGCACTGGTCAGTGTACCTGGCACTGGTCAGTGTACCTGGCACTGGTCAGTGTACCCTGGCACTGGTCAGTGTACCTGGCACTTGTCAGTGTACCTGTCACTGGTCAGTGTACCTGGCACTGGTCAGTGTACCTGGTCACTGGTCAGTGTACCTGGCACTGGTCAGTGTACCTGGCTCTGGTCAGTGTACCTGGCACTGGTCAGTGTACCTGGCACTGGTCAGTGTACCCTGGCACTGGTCAGTGTACCTGGCACTGGTCAGTGTACCTGGCACTGGTCAGTGTACCTGGCACTGGTCAGTGTACCTGGCACTGGTCAGTGTACCTGGCACTGGTCAGTGTACCCACTGGCACTGGTCAGTGTACCTGGCACTGGTCAGTGTACCTGGCACTGGTCAGTGTACCTGGCACTGGTCAGTGTACCTGGCACTGGTCAGTGTACCTGTCACTGGTCAGTGTACCTGGTCAGTGTACCTGGTCAGTGTACCTGGCACTGGTCAGTGTACCCTGTCACTGGTCAGTGTACCTGGCACTGGTCAGTGTACCCTGTCACTGGTCAGTGTACCCTGGCACTGGTCAGTGTACCCTGTCACTGGTCAGTGTACCTGGCACTGGTCAGTGTACCCTGTCACTGCTCAGTCTACCCTGGCTCTGGTCAGTGTACCTGGCACTGGTCAGTGTACCTGGCACTGGTCAGTGTACCCTGGCACTGGTCAGTGTACCTGGCACTGGTCAGTGTACCTGGCACTGGTCAGTGTACCTGGCACTGGTCAGTGTACCTGGCACTGGTCAGTGTACCTGGCACTGGTCAGTGTACCCTGGCACTGGTCAGTGTACCTGGCACTGGTCAGTGTACCTGGCACTGGTCAGTGTACCTGGCACTGGTCAGTGTACCTGGCACTGGTCAGTGTACCTGGCACTGGTCAGTGTACCTGGCACTGGTCAGTGTACCTGGCACTGGTCAGTGTACCCTGTCACTGGTCAGTGTACCTGGCACTGGTCAGTGTACCCTGTCACTGGTCAGTGTACCCTGGCACTGGTCAGTGTACCCTGTCACTGGTCAGTGTACCTGGCACTGGTCAGTGTACCCTGTCACTGCTCAGTCTACCCTGGCACTGGTCAGTGTACCTGGCATTGGTCAGTGTACCTGGCACTGGTTAGTGTACCTGGCACTGGTCAGTGTACCCTGTCACTGGTCAGTGTACCTGGCACTGGTCAGTGTACCCTGGCACTGGTCAGTGTACCTGGCACTGGTCAGTGTACCCTGGCACTGGTCAGTGTACCCTGGCACTGGTCAGTGTACCTGGCACTGGTCAGTGTACCTGGCACTGGTCAGTGTACCTGGCACTGGTCAGTGTACCTGGCACTGGTCAGTGTACCTGGCACTGGTCAGTGTACCTGGCGCTGGTCAGTGTACCCTGTCACTGGTCAGAGTACCTGGCACTGGTCAGTGTACCCTGGCCAGTGTACCCTGGCACTGGTCAGTGTACCTGGCACTGGTCAGTGTACCTGGCACTGTTCAGTGTACCCTGTCACTGGTCAGAGTACCTGGCACTGGTCAGTGTACCTGGCACTGTTCAGTGTACCCTGTCACTGGTCAGTGTACCTGGCACTGGTCAGTGTACCTGGCACTGGTCAGTGTACCTGGCACTGGTCAGTGAACCTGGCACTGGTCAGTGTACCCTGTCACTGGTCAGAGTACCTGGCACTGGTCAGTGTACCCCAGTGTACCCTGGCACTGGTCAGTGTACCTGGCACTGGTCAGTGTACCTGGCACTGGTCAGTGTACCCTGGCACTGGTCAGTGTACCCTGGCACTGGTCAGTGTACCCTGGCACTGGTCAGTGTACCTGGCACTGGTCAGTGTACCTGGCACTGGTCAGTGTACCTGACACTGGTCAGTGTACCTGGCACTGGTCAGTGTACCCTGTCACTGGTCAGAGTACCTGGCACTGGCACTGGTCAGTGTACCCTGGCACTGGTCAGTGTACCTGGCACTGGTCAGTGTACCTGGCACTGGTCAGTGTACCTGGCACTGGTCAGTGTACCCTGGCACTGGTCAGTGTACCTGGCACTGGTCAGTGTACCTGGTCAGTGGCACTGGTCAGAGTACCCTGGCACTGGTCAGTGTACCTGGCACTGGTCAGTGTACCTGGCACTGGTCAGTGTACCCTGGCACTGGTCAGTGTACCCTGGCACTGGTCAGTGTACCTGGCACTGGTCAGTGTACCTGGCACTGGTCAGTGTACCTGGCACTGGTCAGTGTACCCTGTCACTGGTCAGTGTACCTGGCACTGGTCAGTGTACCCTGGCACTGGCACTGGTCAGTGTACCTGGCACTGGTCAGTGTACCCTGGCACTGGTCAGTGTACCCTGGCACTGGTCAGTGTACCTGGCACTGGTCAGTGTACCTGGCACTGGTCAGTGTACCTGGCACTGGTCAGTGTACCTGGCACTGTTCAGTGTACCCTGTCACTGGTCAGTGTACCTGGCACTGGTCAGTGTACCTGGCACTGGTCACCTGGCACTGGTCAGTGTACCTGGCACTGTACCCTGGCACTGGTCAGTGTACCCTGGCACTGGTCAGTGTACCCTGGCACTGGTCAGTGTACCTGGCACTGGTCAGTGTACCTGGCACTGGTCAGTGTACCTGGCACTGGTCAGTGTACCTGGCACTGTTCAGTGTACCTGGCACTGGTCAGTGTACCTGGCACTGTTCAGTGTACCCTGTCACTGGTCAGTGTACCCTGGCACTGGTCAGTGTACCCTGGCACTGGTCAGTAGCTGACTCCATACACCAGTAGCTGACTCCATACACCAGGATTAGCTGACTCCATACACCAGTAGCTGACTCCATACACCAGTAGCTGACTCCATACACCAGTAGCTGTAGCTGACTCCACACACCAGTAGCTGACTCCATACACCAGTAGCTGACTCCATACACCAGTAGCTGACTCCATACACCAGTAGCTGACTCCATACACCAGTAGCTGACTCCATACACCAGTAGCTGACTCCACACACCAGGAGCTGACTCCATACACCAGTAGCTGACTCCACACACCAGGAGCTGACTCCATACACCAGTAGCTGACTCCATACACCAGTAGCTGACTCCACACACCAGTAGCTGACTCCATACACCAGTAGCTGACTCCATACACCAGTAGTTGACTCCATACACCAGTAGCTGACTCCATACACCAGTAGCTGACTCCATACACCAGTAGTTGACTCCATACACCAGTAGCTGACTCCATACACCAGTAGCTGACTCCATACACCAGTAGTTGACTCCATACACCAGTAGCTGACTCCATACACCAGTAGCTGACTCCATACACCAGTAGCTGACTCCATACACCAGTAGCTGACTCCTTACACCAGTAGCTGACTCCTTACACCAGTAGCTGACTCCATACACCAGTAGCTGACTCCTTACACCAGTAGCTGACTTCTTACACCAGTAGCTGACTCCATACACCAGTAGCTGACTCCATACAACAGTAGTTGACTCCATACACCAGTAGCTGACTCCATACACCAGTAGTTGACTCCATACACCAGTAGCTGACTCCATACACCAGGAGCTGACTCCATACACCAGTAGCTGAATCCATACACCAGTAGCTGACTCCATACACCAGTAGCTGACTCCATACACCAGTAGCTGACTCCATACACCAGTAGCTGACTCCATACACCAGTAGCTGACTCCATACACCAGTAGCTGACTCCATACACCAGTAGCTGACTCCATACACCAGTAGCTGACTCCATACACCAGTAGCTGACTCCATACACCAGTAGCTGACTCCATACACCAGTAGCTGACTCCTTACACCAGTAGCTGACTCCATACACCAGTAGCTGACTCCATACACACTCCATACACCAGTAGCTGACTCCATACACCAGTAGCTGACTCCACACACCAGTAGCTGACTCCATACACCAGTAGCTGACTCCATACACCAGTAGCTGACTCCATACACCAGTAGCTGACTCCATACACCAGTAGCTGACTCCATACACCAGTAGCTGACTCCATACACCACACCAGTAGCTGACTCCATACACCAGTAGCTGACTCCATACACCAGTAGCTGACTCCATACACCAGTAGCTGACTCCATACACCAGTAGCTGACTCCATACACCAGTAGCTGACTCCATACACCAGTAGCTGACTCCATACACCCAGTAGCTGACTCCATACACCAGTAGCTGACTCCATACACCAGTAGCTGACTCCACACCAGTAGCTGACTCCATACACCAGTAGCTGAC